ATGCATTCCAAAGTGGTTGTAATTATATTCACTCCAACTAGCATATATGTTACTGTCTATTGCTTTACATCCTCACCAACAGCTGAAACAATTGTTGCCACCTGATGGATATGGAATAATGCCTCATTTGAATATTTATTTGCATTTTTCTGATTATTAATGAGGTTGAGCATATATTCATTCATTTACTTGCTATTTAGACTAGTGCTTTGAAATCTGGTTCTGACATTTTTTATTGGGATTTTTGATTTTCATATTAATTTCTTCCTAAATTAAATGAGTTATTTATATATTCTGAATGCAAGTCCTTGGTTAATTGTCTTCTTCTATAATGTGGTTGTACTTGCTCTGCTTTTAGCATGTCTTTTTATGAATAAAAGCTCCTTATTTTAATATATCAAACGTATCAGTCTTTTCCTTTCAATTAGTGCTATTTATTTAATAAATTACAAAGCCTGTGCTGTTTCCTACAAGATTTCGTTTTGCTTTTCAAGTTTCAGTCTCCACTATCGAGAAACAATGCTTTGTATAAAGTATGAGGTAGAAATGTAATTTCATTTGTTTCCAAATAGACACCTGTCTCAACATCATTCTGAAAAGTTTTTCCTTTTCTCATTGATCTACAATATTACCTCTGTCATATATTAAGAGTCTCTATATATGTGGATCTGATCGAGGGGCCCCTGTTCTGTTTAACTGATCAGTTTGTTTATCTCCGCACCAATACCACATTGTCTTCATTATAATAGCTATATATAGGTACTGGATTATAATATCTGATAGAGTAACTCTTCCAACCATTTTTTTCTTCAAGCGCTCCTTTGATATTCTTGGCTCTGCATTTCAACTTGTCAAGTGATACACAACCATATTGAGGTTGTGATTAGAATTTCAATGAATCTATAGACCAATTTGGATAGCACTAATGCCTTTACAATACTGAGTCTTTTAGTCATGGACATGGTATATCCATACATTTAGTCAGGTTGTCTGAAATGTCTCAATAAAATTCCAAATTTTTTCCATAGAATGCTTGCTTTTTTGTGTGTTGAGTACATCATATTACTTGATGCTATTGTAATAGTATATCATTTCCTTATTTCACAAAATAGAATAGTTATATTCATTTTGATTTTTAATCCAAATACCTTGCTACACTGAATACATTTTTAAGCGAAAAAATTTAAACTTTCCAAAATAACTTGTCACTTATGAAAACTCGATTGTTTCCTTGTACAATGCATGGATCACCTGGAAAGATCACCTGGTGTGATGGTAACTGATTAGGAGCATGGGTTTTGGATTGAGCTATGTCTGGGTGAAGTCCCAGAATGATTACTAGCAACTGTGAGTATAAGCAGGTGGCTAAACTTACCACATCACATTTCCTTTTTCTGTAAATACATATTTAAAATATTCTACCTATTAGGATTGTTTTGAGGATTAAATGTTGCAATGTATATAAATAGCACAAAATCTAGCACATGGAAATGCTGACTAAATGATTAATCATAATGATTTGTATCATAATGATTCTTTCTTGCCTTGTATTAATTGTTTATGTTGAACATAAGTCTTAACCAACAGGTTTATTTTGCCTCTTAAGTATTTAATTGTTTACACTTTCCTTTCTCCTGTAGTTTTCATAATTTTTCTCAATAACACAATCTTTCTCTCTCTCTCTCTCTCTCTCTCTCTCTCTCTCTTTCTCTCTCTCTCTCTTTCTCTCCCTCCTCCCTTCATCTTGCTCCAAATGTTGCTCTAAATATTTTTGTTCACTTTCCTTTTAAAGTCTTACTATCAACTCCACATATGAAGTTATGGAAACAGAATCTTTTACCCTTGGATGTCTCATTTCACTCCACAAGAACACCTATTCCTTCTTAAAAGTTATTCCCAAATCAAAATAATAGTTAAAGTAATATATTATGGTTATGCAAGATGTTTCTATTGGGGAAAATGAATGAAGAGTACATAGGAACTTCCCATACTTTTTTTGGAACTTCTTCTGTATCTGTAATTATTTGTAAAAGATGTTTAAATAATCAAAAAATATTTCTGTGAGTTCTCTTGCCCTTTTGTTCATTCTCTTGAACCTGGGACAAACTCATCCCAAATTTAAAAACTACTCATCCTTAGGGTTCCCAGAGCCCCAACACACTTAATTGAAGCAAAAGGACACCATCATCACTGGTGATTTTCTGCCAACTTCCTGATCAGACCCCCATGAAAAATAATAAATAAATAAATACACACATTCAAGAATTGAGTGAGAGTCAATAATTAAACTTTAAGAGAGTGATGTTTTATTTTCTCCTTCCACATTAGCTACGTCAAAAACAAATCACCCTAAAAAGTAAGTATCAAGCTAATCTTTGGTCATTCAATTTATTGATTCACAAATTTGACTGTCATTTTTTATTTTCAATGACATATTTTTAAAGACTAGTTTATTGATTTTTAGAGAGAGAAGAAGAGAGAAGGGGAAAGAGAGATAGAAACATCACTATGAGAGTATAACATCGATTGGCTGCCTACTGGGATTGAGCCCACAATCTTGGGCATGTGCCCTGACCAGGAATCAAACTGGCCATCTTTCAGTGCACAGGACAACACCCAACCAACTGAGCTACACCAGCCAGGGCTTCAGTGAAATTTTAGAAACTAATTGTTCCATGCTTCCATATTTCCAAATATCAGAGAGAAAGAATGTTCAGAGATAAAAAATAATACTAATGATAGCTAACACTTATATAGTGCTTACAGTATACCAGGCACTGTTCTAAGCATTATATATAATTAAAATATATAGATATATATGCACATACACATATAGAGTGGGCCCAAAAATGTATACACACTTTAACAGCTGATAGCTCAATTTTGAAAATAAAATGTATTTTAACATCCACTGCCTTTATAATTATTCAAAGTGTGTATTTACACTTTTGGGGATGCCCCTATATATATGCACATGTATACATATATATACACATGTAGTATAATTCACTATAATAAAAGTATTATCCCCGCTTTACAAATGAGGAAGCTGATGGAGACAGTGTTAAGTAACTGAGCCACGCTCACACAGCCCATAAGTGGTGAACAGGGAGTAAACCCAAGTCATCTTAGAGTACAGAATCTTCACCACTAAACCCTCAAGTCTTCCAACTCAAAGAACCTCTCATTAATGTGCTAAGCAACATGAATTTCAAAAGACCCATTCTAAGATAAATGTTGGTAAACTATCTGAATTCAAATGATAAAAATAAAATTTTTAAAAGTTATCAGTGGAGAGAGAAAAGATTTCCCTTGAACAAAAATTAAATTTCTATTAGACTTCTGATTGGCAACACTAGAACTTAAGATGATAATAAAACAATAACTTCAAAGTCCTGTAGAACATATGAAATATCTGAAAAAAGTTTACCTAATATTAATTACCATTTTTTTCAAATGGGGAGGTTTGGGATGATTTGTTGTTTACCTTCTTTGTACTTTTCTCTTTTGTTTTAAATTCTGATAATGAACATGTCTTTGTTGAAAACAATAAAATTATTGTTATAAAAATAAAAATATTCACATGAACTAAATTTCTTAAATATGAAAAATGAAACCATAAATTTACTAGATAAATACAATATAATATTTTCTCATTGGAGGAGATGTGGAAATGAAAGATCATCCGAGGAAAGATTTTTTTTTTATAAAAAGAAACTATAAAGAAAAAGATTAACAAATTACATAAAAATGTTAAGTTCTGACAGGACATAAGTTAAAAGATATGTGACAGATTAGGAGAAAACATATGTTTCATACATAGCAAACAAAGATTTAATATCAATATTATAAACAGTTCCTCTAAATCAAATGGAAGATATTTTTAAAAGCACAAATAAACAAGAAATACAAATAGGCAATTCATCGAAGTGCTAATAGCCAATACCCACTCAGCCCCTCTTGTATTCAGAAAAAAATACATATTAAATAAGTAAGTAATGTACCATTTTTCACCCAACAAACTGTTAAAAATTTAAAGGTTAATAATACATAATTAGGATTAGGAAACAGGCAGTTTTACCTGTTACTGGAGAGGAAGTAAATGGTACGTTTTGGAAGGGTAATTTCACAATATCCCTCAAAATTAAAAATTATTTGGTTGTGTTTCCAGACATCTATTTTATGGGAATACTTACCTAAGAGCCAAAACAAGTAGTGCAACAGTGTTTAAAAAGTGACACACAAGTGCTGGCCACTTGCATAGGACTTCCTTAGAGGACAAGCACCAAAGCCCAGATGTCTGGATATTTCACTCTTAATTGCGAGCTACACAAGAGAGTCTAAAGGCAATGTCTGACTCCGCTTTTCACAGAGACTGAGTCATTTTCCACAATGAACAGTCCTTGGAGAAACAGCCTACTGATGGGCTTCATCAACTAGAGATTGGCACACAGAAGCTCCCACAGCAGCTGCCAAGATTTCTGGAATCAATACTAGAGCAGGAATTTTCCATTTTGCTTTCCCATATCTGGTGGATATAATATAATATCATCATGCACTCCTATACATTCTGACAATATTGTTATTTTTATGCAAGCATATGCAGTAGATTGATCATTTCTTTATCTTTATTCTTAACAAAACTGATATTAATTCAGTTCAACAATCAATGCCAATCAATAAGTTGGGACCGAAGCCAACAAATTAGAAAGTAGTAGTAATGAGTAAGCAGAATATTGTGTTGCTTCTTTGAGCAAAACAATGGGTCCTCATGTTATTTCTACCGTCTCTGAAGACAAGAAACAGAATCCCAGCAGGAGCATGAAATGGTGTTTGGATTCCCATAATCCTGCCTAGTTTATTTACAATTCCCTTCTTCATCCTTCCTGCCTGTCCAGATGGTGTCCTTCTTTGTTTCCTATGCTCACTGTCTTTAGATGTTTAGTACTTCAAAAGCTTTCCTCTCTAGTCCCTCACCAACAGAACTCATAAATGCTTACCTTTGCCGAATTATGCTGGGGTTAGCTGTCACTAGATGACTTTTGGATCCAACATCTTTAGTGTATTCACTTGACAAGGGAGGAAGATTGCATCTAGGGAAACAAAAACAAACATTTTAGAATGAATTACCTACCTTCAGACTGTCAGCTATCACAAAAAATAGGAATTTTACTAAGTCTAGCTCAATTCACAAATAACTTTTATCACCTCTCCCTTTTAATGGACATCAGATGACTATCAGCACCTTCAAAACACTGTCATACAAACTAGTCCTATTTTAGAAGAAAGAAAACATCAGCTGCAGAGGTAAATGATCTATGAAAGGAAAGAGAAATAACTGGAATGAATTTATTCCATTCAAAATATTTTTGAAGTGGGAGGACAGGGAGTATTAGACCTGAAATTGCAGCTCAGGAGAGTGTGGGACACAAGAGGACACAGGGCCTACACTGTACTCTGCACACCTCTAAACCTCAAGAGACAGGGAGGAATTGTATGTTTTTTTCCCTTTTTTCCCCCCAAATTCTAAATTATAATGGTACATTCAAGGCAAAACCTGCCTTGAATGTACCATTATAATGTGCTAAATCAATGCATGTCCCCCTTTTGTGTACATGACCAGTGTATGGGTTGACTACTGGTGAAGTCATAGTTGTAGGGAGCTGATGTAGGGTTAAGCCTCGGACTGACCTGTGGGCAAAGTCACAAACAATTCCCAGCTGAGAGGGCACAGTCCTCTTAGCATAATTAGGCTTGACCTTATAACACTCCCTAGATCTTATCTGGGAATCTAATGGGCTGAGGAGGTGCAGGAAGTATAACCATGGTGTAAACAAGTGAAACTCACAAGAACAGTGTAACTTGGGATCTTTCTCTGGCCTCTGCCAGGCACAGGAAGATCCACGAGATTAAGGAAAGCTAGAGAGTTCTGAATGCTGTCTCCGTGTAAAACATTCTTTGCCAACTCCGTCCACACCTTTGGGGAACCCCTGGATCTGCTGGGGCTGGCCCCCAGCACATAGTGATCTGTCATCTAGAGAAATGAAATGATTATCCACCATTCCAGGTCCGCCAAGGAAGAGAGTATGTTTTCCTGATGATGGAAATAACACTCTCTCTCTCTCTCTCTCTCTCTCTCTCTCTCTCTCTCTCTCTCTTGCTTTTTGTGGCCATGTCTTATGAATGTTTACAATGGAAAATATGGCAATTGCAAATCCAAATCCCATGGCTTTCTGACAGTGGGAAATTAGACAAATTATTTCATCAGCCTGGCCTCAGTTTCCCCATTAGACAAATGAAGATAGTGTCTTCCTTTCCAATAAGGTTGTTGTAAAGATTAAAATGAGAAATATATAAACAGCCCCTACCTTTATGTCCCACACATAGTAAAAGCTCAAAAATATCACATATCAGAAATAGCGTTGTCAATTAATTAAATACACATCTATTACTTATGACAATCTCAAATGAATCTAAGTTTCCACTAGGTTTTATTTTATTACTGTGTCCTAGTTTCCCCTCTCCACCCATATCTCTAACCTGACTTCTACCACATCCGAGCATCACTAACTTTTATTACTTCAACAAACTAAAGCATTGTTTGTAGGTAAAGAGGTCTTACAAATATTAATGTCTCTGCAGTTCCCCAACTAATAAATTTTTCCCAAACAAATTTTCCCCAGGACATGGAATTTTCCGGGCACCCACTCAGCTGATGAGCTCAAGTTCCCTGGTGTTGTCTCTTACTCACCCTGTGACTCCTACCACATCAGGGCATCCTAGGTAGAACCCTGTCTCAGTTGATTTAGAGTCTTCCTTTCATCTGCTCTTTGGTAATGAGATACTGGTTTTTGTGGCAGCTACCCACAGATTAGTCAGCTAGTCAGTGACTTCTGAGTGTCCACTGAGAACCAACACTGTGGGGAGCCTGGGGGAAGCCGAGTCCCAGAGCCTGCTCTTGAAGCATCTCGGGCCTTGCAGTCACATGACACCCCATGTGGTTTCTGAGGACCCTCAGGAGGGGGTGAGCTTATACATTAGCAACCAGGCTCATCTGGCAGTGGGCTGACTGTGGTCTTGTGATTTAATTGATCTTTGCAAACACAGGCTAAAATCTGGACATCTGTCTCTTGAAGAAGCTTTGATCTTGATGGTCCTTCATAACATATGAAAACCAACCAGTCTACATTAAAACTATAAAATCTGAATATTGCTAAAGAGTGCTGTCAACCTGCTTCGTCATTATTAAATGAAGCAAATACTTTGTTTTTCTGTGTGTTCCTTGTGGGTAGATCCATGCCTCAGATGTCTAGGTTCCTTCATACCTCCTACCATAAACACGCAAGAAAAACTTGAAGGTACTGACTGCCAAATCCTACAGCAGAGGGAAATGCTTAAAACAAAAAAGATAACATTTTATAAATGCGTTCCTCTAAAATAATGAAATTATATTTTGGTGTGAATATCTGCTTTAAGTTCTTCTGGGACAACTTTCTCTTTGAGTGCAATGTCTGTGACACATCCCTGTAGCTCCTTTCTCAGAAAAAGCACACTATAATTTTATTTTATTTTTTTTTTCATCAACTGATTTAATAGATAAACCAACAGTAGTTTATCTATATAATAAGGTAATTATACTTCAATACAGCTGTTTAGAAAAGATTTTGTTTTAATTTTACAAGCAATGGGAAACCACTTAAGATTTATAAATGAAGAAAAACTATTGAAAAAATTGCCAGTAAAGAATTATTCAGATTAAAATATAAAACTAGACTGAATGTCCTTGAGCAGCTCCAGGAAGGCCTGCGGGGATGGCGCCTCCACATTCGGGAAGGTGTCCTGGACTCTGCCGTACCAGAAGAAGTATTTCTCCTCCAGCCAGAGGAACCCGAAGTGGTCCTCATCGAACAGGATGAAGGCTCCAGGGCAGCAGTGCCTGGGGTAAGCGAAGGGATCAATGTCCACGCCATAGAAACACATCCTGCAGGTTCGGGGGTAGTTCTGGTCACTTGAGCGCACGCCCACAGGCAGAACGAACGGGACAGGCTGCTCCTCCGAGGCTGCAGCCCCGGACTCCCCGATGCTGGGCTGGGCAGCGCTCTGCCAGCCATGGCCCTGGCTTTCCTCAGTCCCGTCTTCTCGCTGCTGCTGCTGCTCCCGGGTCACCTGCTCGTCAATCTCCCGGACCACGCGGGAGAGCTCGTTGAAGTTGCGGAAGATCTCGCCATCTCGCAGCTGGATGCGGCGCAGGAGGTGGATCTCTAGCGCCTTCGTGCCGATCCCCATGAGCCTGGTGACCCTGGCGTACTTCCCGTGGAAGCTGAGCATGACGGTCGTGGGGCCGAAGGCGTTGTATTTGCGGTGGAAGAGGCCTGGCCTGATGAGGTCGTCCGGGCGGCGAGGCGGGAGGTAGAGGCGGGAGTAGGTCAGGCAGTCATACTGCTGTCCGTCCTCCTGCACCCGCCCCCGCCCCCGCTCTCCCCGAAGCCGCGTTGGTGCATCCGTTCGGTGGTCGGTCCTCTTGCACTGGATGGTGAGCCTGTCCTCCTGGATCTGCATGTGGCCGCGGTGGGGCCTGCCGAGGCCTGCCATGCACTCCACCGCGGCTGATTGCCGCTCCGTCAGGCGAATTCGGAACGAGGGCTTGAAATGTCTTGGGCCACGCACACGGGGGTTAGGGGAAGGCCTGTACATCCCGCCAGTAATGCATAAGCCGTCCACCACGACATTCAGCAGTGTTCTACAGCTGTAATTTAGCTGCCACAACCCCAAAATGTGTCTGTATGGGAACAGCTTCGCATAGAATTCTCGGTAAGACATACCGACCATCTCCAGGTTCTGCAAGGTTTCACGAACGCCAAACTCCACGCGGCAGCGCCGTCTCCAGATGCTGTCGACGTGCAGGATGTGGTGGAATCTGGTGCAGGCCTGGGCCAGGCTGGGCAGATCGGTGCCGGGGAGCGAGGTGAAGATCTCCACCAGCATCTCCACCGGCAGGTCCTGCAGCGAGCAGTGCGGGGGCGGCGGGGGCGGGGGCGGCATGGGGCTCGCGATTCCTCCACTCCCCGCACAGCACCACGCTGCCGCGTCCACCTCCACGTGCTTTTCTGCCGGGGACGGCTTGCTGTGGGCCGCTGGCGTCTCAGCTGGGCGCTGGCACTCCTGACGACACCGATGTCCCCGCGAAGAGCCCACGCCGCAGAGGCCAGCGCACTCCTCCATGCTGCCACGTGTAACCGCCACCACAGCCAGGGCCTCTGCTCCTCAATCTGGCTTTAAACTGGCTCGATCCGCCCTAGAGTCCAGCCACGCCCCCAGAGCCTAGCCACGCCCCCTCAGAGAGGAGCCAATTGTAGGACTTTAACAACACTTTTTTTTTTATTGCTTAAAGTATTACAAAGGGTATTACATATGTGTCCTTCCCCCCCCCCCCCCGCCCTTGACAATCCCCTGGCCTCCCCTACCCCCCAGTGTCTTATGTCCATTGGTTATGCTTATATGCATGCATACAAGTCCTTCGGTTGATCTCTTACCCCCCTCCCCCCTCCTGCCCCCCCACACTATAATTTTAGCTGCTCAACTCCTAAACTGATCATTACGAAGATTTACATAAAAGGCACATTTAAGACAGTCAAATTGTTTTTAATAAGGCATAATTGTGTAAAAGTGTTTCAAAATTGGCGTTATTGCTTGTCACAATTAACAGACATTAATGGCTAAAGCAGTGATGGCGAACCTATGACACGCGAACTCATTTTTTTGGTTGATTTTTCTTTGTTAAATGGCATTTAAGTATATAAAATAAATATCAAAAATATAAGGCTTTGTTTTACTATGGTTGCAAATATCAAAAAATTTCTATATGTGACACGGCACCAGAGTTAAGTTAGGGTTTTTCAAAATGCTGACACGCCGAGCTCAAAAGGTTCACCATCACTGGGCTAAAGTGTCTTATTAACTTGGCTTCTGAACCTAAAAGATGTGATCATAGAACTGATGAAAAATGAAATATTCTTTGAATTGGGTAGTGGAGATGGGTGGGGAATAGGGTGGCAAGGAATCTTTACATTTAAAAAAAAATCCTAAGGCGCGA